ACAGAAAACTGACAGCGAATCCGTTTTACACCTTATGCGCAAAACCCCAAACCCAAAAACACCCTTTCCCAATCCTAGGGTCCTAAACTCCACAAACACCCACTATTAGAGACCATAAGGGCTTTATTGAAGGGCCCTGGGGGGGGGTCCTGGCAAGCCTTCCTCAGGGTTTCCAGCCCTCAACCCTCTATCACCACTCTCCTGCTGAGATGATTGAACTTCGCCAGACGCTCGTCGGGAGATCGAAGGCGTGGCCGTCCAAGCTATCGTCGACTGAGGCACAAGGCTCAAAGGAATAGGGTTTTGACACTAGCGTCTGGGCTGAACTGTATAATAGGGCCTCGGATTTTGATGGGAAGAGGTTTCGGGACTTTAGGGTTTGCGGTTTCGTGGAACTGCACGTTCTAGCGATGAGTCACGCGCCAATGCCATGTGCAAACCCCGCAACCCTCAACCCAGCTCGGACGGTCTCAAGAAAAGACACGTTTTGTTGCGACCCTAAACAAAAGTTTCTCAAAATTATTCAACGGTTCCTGAACGATAATAAACGAGGATCCTACTATCTGGCGCGTGCACGAAGCGACGATCCCTTGCATCCCCCCTTAGCAAAAGAATCAGGGTACTCTGACAATAACAATATTTCTGGGTATTATCATTGTCACGTCTACTATTTAGTCTCGAGAATGAGACCCCGAAGCAAGAGCCGCACAAGGGTGTACTGCTGATGGACAAAATCCTGCATGACCCTAAGGACTCTAAACTATGGGAACTGTGGTATATTCCTTATAATGGGTCATGCAGGATTTTGTCCATCAGCAGTATTACCGAACTGAAAAGGATCCAGGGAGCCTTCGCTCAAAGAGGTCCTTGCTCCGGCGGAGCTTGTCGAGCGTAAAGACGGTGAAAGACCAATCTGAGAGTTTAGGCTTTAGGGTACTACATCTACCCTATTATAGTACCCTTATAGATGCCTTATGGTAACCCTTATCTGAGAGTTTAGGGTCTACCCTATTATAGTACCCTTATAGATGCCTTATGGTAACCCTAAACCCTAAACCCTAAACCCTAGACCCTAAACCCTAAACCCTAAACCCTAGACCCTAAACCCTAAACCCTAAACCCTAGACTCTAAACCCTAAACCCTTATAGACGCCTTGAAAAAGGAACCCTCAAGGCCCACCAAGGATTCTTGGGCTTCGAGCTTAGATGTTATGGGAGATTACGGGTTGGGGTCTCGACGCTTCATTGCGCTTCATGCCCTGTTCAACTGTTTCGGGTTTAGGGCTTAGGGGTTTAGGGGTTTAGGTTTAGGGTTTAGGGGTTAGGGTTTTAGGGTTTTAGGGTTTAGGGTTTAGGGGTTTAGGGTTTAGGGTTTTAGGGTTTCCCCTATAAAGCCCCAAAGCCGAGTCGGGACCATAAAGCTTCGGGCGATGCTGCTAATATCCTAATGTAGGACCCTGATTAAGAGACCTTGGGCCGTTAAACTAAGGTTCCTTATATGAAGCCTAATTATACTGGGGCTATAGGGCCAGGGTTTCTTAATCAGGTTCCTATATTACCTCAAACCCGACAAGCTCCGAAAACAACCTATACAGACCCACGAGTTGTGTGCCTCGCCCAGGACCCTCGGAGTGTTGAGACAGGACAAGAACACCCCACAGCCATAGCATGTCCCAGTAAATCCTTGTTGTTGCGGTGTCTTCGTAATATATTGCTTATTGCAGATACATACACAAACATACCTGTCTAATACCGTGTTCATATTATATACGGCAAGCAGACACATGCAACCGCCAGGGGGCATCCTTCGAAAGCCTTGTTGACAATGACTTCGGCTGCACCGTCCTGCCCAGCTGCCAGAGATCTTCGTCATATCACCCCAAGCTCTACCCAAAGGCCCCAAATTAGTTCCTTTTTGGGGTTCATATAAAGGTTCCTCTAGGGTACTCCCAAAAAGGAACTACTATGGGGCCTCTACGGTAAACCCTATAAACCCTTCTGACACCTGGACTTGATGGATGCCACCCTCAACCCACACCCTAAGCCTAAAAGCCCAAATCCGAAAGAGTACGGCCGCAAGCTCGCAGAAGTTCAAATTAAATCACACAATAGATGTCCAAGGCTCCCATACCTCATGACCGGAAGTTAACCCCATCCTGACCAGGTGAGACAAGCACGTAACCCACTGCCACTCTGCCGCGCAGCTGGGTTTCGGGCTTGGTTTTGTGTTCGTTTTCGCGAGCGTTTGGATGAAGCCCGCCACTGCAAACGTTGTGAGTTCACTTTGCTCCTAAGTACGCGCGGCGCCTCAGATTGGTAATAAGAACATGACGTGCACCAGCAGCCCTTAGATTCTAAACCTAGAGGCCCTAGAAACGGAAAGCCCCAAGAACTGGAAACCCTTACGAAACCTTTCACCCTAGCTAGACCCCCCAACCACCCTCTACTATACGACAAATACCCACTAGTTGGGATCATAAGGGCTCCATTAACCTAAAATCCTTAAACGTAACACATCCTAACACCCTAAACCCTTAACTCTATAAACCCGAAACCCTACACCCTCAACCCAAAACCCTTTTGCTGCAGGCTTGCTTGCAAGGACGCCCGGTAAACCCTAAAACCCTAAACCCTTTTTGAACGAGGTCTCTCTGAAGTGTCTCCAAGTTGCCTGCCTCAGCGATGGCTCGTGCATCACGGGGCACGTAAACCCCCTCTCTCTCTCTCTATCTCTCTCTCTCTCTCTCTCTCTCTCTCTCTCGCATTCGAAACGTCAAGCCCGGTTGCAGGACATAGATGGTCCCACGTGACACATGATTGCACGCACACCCTGATGCCACAGATTCATCGCTGCAGCCCTTTTTGGGAGCCATGGCAAGTCTGTCTCATGCCGGTGTGCCGTCGTGCTTGCTGTCTTTTGTCCGTGTTGGTTTCACTTGCTGCTGCTTGTGCTGCCGCTGCTCCTAAGGTCAGGAAGTGGGTGCGTGCGCCCCGTTCGGGGGGCCACGTCCGCCTCCTGCCGCTGCTGCTGCCTGCTCGTGTGTCCTGTGCTTCTCTGTCCCTGTGTTGCCGCTGCTGTTGTGTGGTTTGGTGCTCTGCTTTTCTGCTGCTGCTGCTGCTTGTGCTGCCGCTGCTCCTAAGGTCAGGAAGTGGGTGCGTGTGCCCCGGTTCGGGGGGCCACGTCCGCCTCCTGCCGCTGCTGCTGCCTGCTCGTCTGTCCTGTGCCTGTTTGCCCCTGTGTTGCCGTTGCTGTTGTCTGGTTTGGTGTTCTGCTTTTCTGCTGCTGCTGCCGCTGCTGCTTGTGCTGCCGCTGCTCCTAAGGTCAGGAAGTGGGTGCGTGTGCCCCGTTCGGGGGGCCACGTCCGCCTCCTGCCGCTGCTGCTGCCTGCTCGTCTGTCCTGTGCCTGTTTTGCCCCTGTGTTGCCGATGCTGTTGTCTGGTTTGGTCCTCTGCTTTTCTGCTGCTGCTTGTGCTGCCTCTGCTCCTAAGGTCAGGAAGTGGGTGCGTGTGCCCCGATCGGGGGGCCACGTCCGCCTCCTGCCGCTGCTGCTGCCTGCTCGTCTGTCCTGTGCCTGTTTGTCCCTGTGTTGCCGTTGCTGTTGTCTGGTTTGGTCTTCTGCTGTTCTGCTTCTGCTGCCGCTGCTTGTGCTGTCGCTGCTCCTAAGGTCAGGAAGTGGGTGCGTGTGCCCCGTTCGGGGGGCCACGTCCGCCTCCTGCCGCTGCTGCTGCCTGCTCGTCTGTCCTGTGCCTGTTTTGCCCCTGTGTTGCCGTTGCTGTTGTCTGGTTTGGTCCCCTGCTTTTCTGCTGCTGCTGCTGCTGCTGCTTGTGCTGCCGCTGCTCCTAAGGTCAGGAAGCGGGTGCGTGTGCCTTGATCGGGGGGCCACGTCCGCCTCCTGCCGCTGCTGCTGCCTGCTCGCCTGTCCTGTGCCTGTTTGCCCCTGTGTTGCCGTTGCTGTTGTCTGGTTTGGTCCTCTGCGTTTCTGCTGCTGCTGCCGCCGCTTGTGTTGCCGCTGCTCCTAAGGTCAGGAAGTGGGTGCGTGTGCCCCGTTCGGGGGGCCACGTCCGCCTCCTGCCGCTGCTGCTGCCTGCTCGTCTGTCCTGTGCCTGTTTTGCCCCTGTGTTGCCGTTGCTGTTGTCTGGTTTGGTCCCCTGCTTTTCTGCTGCTGCTGCTGCTGCTGCTTGTGCTGCCGCTGCTCCTAAGGTCAGGAAGCGGGTGCGTGTGCCTTGATCGGGGGGCCACGTCCGCCTCCTGCCGCTGCTGCTGCCTGCTCGCCTGTCCTGTGCCTGTTTGCCCCTGTGTTGCCGTTGCTGTTGTCTGGTTTGGTCCTCTGCGTTTCTGCTGCTGCTGCCGCCGCTTGTGTTGCCGCTGCTCCTAAGGTCAGGAAGTGGGTGCGTGTGCCCCGTTCGGGGGGCCACGTCCGCCTCCTGCCGCTGCTGCTGCCTGCTCGTCCGTCCTGTGCCTGTTCGTCCCTGTGTTGCCGTTGCGGTTGTCTTGTTTGGTCCTCTGCTTTTCTGCTGCTGCTGCTGCTGCTGCTGCTTGTGCTGCCGCTGCTCCTAAGGTCAGGAAGCGGGTGCGTGTGTCTTGATCGGGGGGCCACGTCCGCCTCCTGCCGCTGCTGCTGCCTGCTCGTGTGTGCTGTGCTTGTGGTGTCCTTTTTTTTTCTTTTTTTCTTCCTGCTGCTGCCTGCTTGTCTTGGTGTAGTCGTCGTGTCCCTGTCGCTCGTTCGGGAGCACTGTATGTCACTCGAATCCCTCGGCATTGCCTTGAGCTCTTGCTGCTGACGCATTAGGGACGGAATGGGCTCTGACCCATCTGAACATTTTTTTTTCCCTTTTGTTTTAATCGATTCTTTCTCGTCTGATCACTAGCCAGCTCCTCTGTGAAGGGCTAATCGCAGCTTATCTCACCATGTCGACGTACCGGACGACCGTATGGCTCTAGCTTTCCGTGTTGCTCTGGGGCCTGTAGGGGTGTGTTGTGTGTAGGCTGTCCAGAAGCCATGCCCCGGAGTACGCCAGGCCTCAAGATGCCATCAACTCCCGAAAGGGATCAGATGTACAGGTCTCTAAAGACTTGGTGCATCAGTCGGGGCGTGCAGCTTCATGACTCCCAAGATTCGGCCAGCACCGTTCCTGCTTCAGACAGCCAACTCGCAGAGTTGCATGCAGCAGTCTCCTCGCAGGACAGACAGCCGGATTTCCCTGCTTCGATCATGCCTTGTGTGCCTCAGATTGAAAGCAAAGATTTGCTGGAGATGCAGTGGGCCGCTGATTGGGCTAGGGAGTTGGACCAGCTGGTCGCGAGAAAAGAAGATACAGCTGTTATCCCAGCTTGGGCATGGGAATGGGCCGAAGAGCTTGATTCCGAGGAGTGCGTCGGTAAGAGCAACACAGTGCAAGCGGGGTGTGCGGTAAACAAGGAGTGCCCACATGCTCGTTCGCGCTCGCCCATGAGAGTGCATGCAGCCTTGAAGCCGTGCTCTGCGACTTCTGTGCTCTCATCCAAGCCGAAGCCGTCTTGTGCTCCACATCTCCGGTTCGACGCTTGCAACTTTTCTGCACGTGTGGCCAGTTTGCAGAGCTTAGTCCACCTGGGGGCTCAAGAAGCCGCCAAATTCAAGGCGGAAGTTTCGGATGAAGAGGAGTTTCACAGATTCATTTCTGATGGTTCGCCCGTCCGTGACTTAGAAGAGCTCGCCATGTTTCTCATGAAGCTCAATCTATATGGGCAGCCGCACAACATCAGATTGATCCAGTCGCGTGGGAAGCCGTGTGGTATCTTGGTTCAACCGAACTGGGGTGGCAGTCTCAGTGTCTATTTGAAATCAGGAAAGATGAACCTTCAGGGTCCCCTTCACGCGCGCCACCGTCTATTGAGCCTGGTCAAGCATGCCACTCAGAAGGCTCGCCCAAGTGGCGTGCAAGAAGGGTTACCAGATCCGGCCTGTATTTCGGCCCGCTTGAAAGGCACCTAG